GGGGGGGGGGGTCGCGCCTCGGGGACCGGCCGGCGGGTCTCGCGCGCGATCTTGGGCCTCGCTGGCTGCTCGGGGTCTCTGCCTCTACCCTGCGTCTCACCTTTGACCTGTCCCTGTGTCTCCCACTTCTCCCCAGGTTTCTCTCGCTCTGTCTCTGCCGCTCACTTTGTCTCTATCCCTCACTCTGTGGCTCCCGCCTCTGGCTCTGTCACTCTCTGTCTGTCCGTCTCTCCCTCTCTCTGTCACGTTGTCTTGTCTGAGAAGCAGACGTCTGGGGAGGTGCTGCAGAGCTCCGAGGCAGGGCCGCATGTCTGAGGGGGGCGTGAGGGACGTGGGCCACCAGGACCCTAGGGATCTGCCACCAGGCCCGCCCTCAGACCTGTTTTTGGGGAAAGCAGCCGGGCTAGACCAGGAGTTAAGGCTATTGGCTTGGTCCAGGCTGCCAGGCTGGACTGGTCTGGGTCCATGGTGTGGCTACTCTGTGGCTGGGTCACTGGCCGGGTGGTGGCAGTGGCAGGGCCAGGCCTGAGGTCTGGGGCTTGGTGAGGAGTCTGAGTGGGGCCAGAGATCAGGCCATAGGGTTCCCCAGCTCTGGACAAGAGAAGGTAGGTGCTGCCCACAGGTGTGACCCCAGGGATGGGTGGTGCCCCTCCCTCTGAGCCTCTGGCTACAGAATGGGTACCTGGTGCTCTTTGTCTGTCTGTCTTTCCCTGCACTGGGCCTGGTTCCAGGGCCTGGGTGTCTCAGCATTTTGGAGGGCAGGGTGGGGCGTGGAAGGGGGCAGTCCCTCAGCCTCTGGGTCAGTAATGCAGCAGCCTGGCCACACCCAGGGCACCTGGCCAGCGCAGCAAGGGGGCTGGGGCCATGCTGCAGTGACGCAGGCCGGACCCCACTCCTTGGGGAAACCAGAGATTGATGATGATGATGATGATGCTGCTGCTGCTGATGTTGATTCAGAAGGGGTGCCCCCTGACCCGGGCATGCCCTTCCAGCTGCAGCAGAGCTGTCCATCTGTCAGGCGAGCTCTGAGCCAGAGTGGGAGGCTTGGTTTGTAGGGCCACCAGAGCAAGGAGGCTGGGCCCCTTCAACACCCCCTTCACAATGTCCCAGGTGACCTCCTGTTTGGGCGTGCCCTGACTTGCTCTGGATGGTGGCGGGGAAATGATGGGCCCGGTGCATCTGTGGGCTGGCCCTGGCCCGCCTCACTGCGGATCAGCCTCATCAGAGGGAGAAGGGTGGGGGCCCAAGGACATGGGGGCCACTGCACTGCCTCCTGCTTTCTGTGTGGCCCCTCCCACACTGGCTTCCTCACTCGCAGTGCCCTGACACCCGGGCTGCAGGGCCTAGGGACCAGCTTGTCTATCCCCTGCCTCCACAGAAGCCTGGGGCCTTATCTGCTGCTGTCTGCTTCGCAGTTCCCCACCTGTCTGGGGCAGTCGCTCCTTGTGTCCAGCCTACAAAACCATGTGCTCTTAGGGAATGAGATCAGAGAGGCTCTTGCTGCGGCTTTGGTCGGATACCTGCAGGGTCAGAGCCCTGGGGGATTCTGACCAACATGCAGGTTCCCAGGCCGTCCCCACCCTTCACAGGAACACTCGTTCCTGAGAAGGACCCCAGGGGATTCGGTCCGGGGCCTTTCCAGCTCAGTCCCCTCCCAGCGAGCCAGGGATGGGCAGGCCCTCCCCTGCTCTCGTCGTTCCGCCCAGTCCAAACCTGCCCTCCTGTGCCAGCCCCGCCAGGTCCCAGGCGCCCGCCCCTCGCAGACTGTTGGCCTCTGCCCTCTGCCCTGGGAGGGGGTGGAGCGCTCGTCTCCCGTCCAGCTTGCGCGGGGAGGCTGCCCCCTGGTGGCGGCGCTGGGAACACACCCGCGCAGGGAGCCCGCGGTCCCGGCGCAGGGACCCGCCCAGCCTCCCCGCACCCTGGCGAGTCCCGACCAGCACTGCTGGTTCCCCCGCCGGTGGGAAGGGCGCTCCGCCTGGTTGCACCAACCCCACTCAGGGCTCCTGACTGTAACACCCACCAGTTCACCCCCGATGCGCTCTGGGTGTCACACCCCTCCCTATCCTAGGGGGAGGCCGGTTTCATCCCAGAGGCAGAGGGGGCCCCGGGCGGCTAGAGTGACAGGGAGCCCCCTCCCCCAATCCTGGCCTCTGCCCTGCGCCTGCGAGTCCCTGGCTTGGCCTGAACACCTGCCCCAACTACTTTCCAAGAAACCACCGCGGAGGCTGGGGAAGCCCCAGGAGCAGTGACACCGTGAGGGGACATCTATGTGGTTTCTCCTCTGGAGCAGGGGCCATGGCATGGTTGGGGCCTTTCCTAAGAGCAGTGCATGCCGGGCAGCTGCTGTGGAGCTGGGTCTGGATCTCACATCTGGGAACAGGAGTGACCGTAGCTGCCCAGGACTGAGTTGGAGCTGTGTAGCCAGAGAGGCCGAGTGCCTGCCCTGGTGTTCCCATCACCATGCTGTCGTCTTCCTGACTGGCTGTCCATGCTGGGGAGGGCTGCATCCCCATTCTGCAGACAGGGGCACTGAGGCTGGGAGCAGCGAAGCGGAGCCCTGCACCCAGGCAGAGCCTCTGGCTCTCAGGGGCCAGAGCCTCATGCCACATGGTTTGGGCAGGGATGTAAGGCTCTGACAGGTGGTGGCTACCTTGCCCCATTAGGTCATCCTGGGCTGTCTCTCTCCTTGATGAGGTGGGTTGTCAGAAGTGCCAGAGCCTCATGCCACATGGTTTGGGCAGGGATGTAAGGCTCTGACAGGTGGTGGCTACCCTGCCCCATTAGGTCATCCTGGGCTGTCTCTCTCCTTGATGAGGTGGGTTGTCAGAAGCTACTGCTGGTGACAGTGTGTGTGTTCCTGCCAACACCCCCAGCTCTTTCTCTGGTGGGGAAACTGAAGCTGGATAGCCCAGGGATGAGAGCTGTGCCCACCTGGTGCAGCCCAGGGGAGGTGCAGCCCAGGAAAGGGGGAGGGTGGGGCCCAGGAGTGGACAGGAGGCTCCAATGCCCCAGAGCCCCCAGAATCCCAGAGTCCCCCATGCTCAGGATACTGCGTGCCCATTGCCGCTGGGGGCTCACTGTGGCAGGGCCTGTGGCAGGAGTGCCCTCATTGCCTTCTTTCTGTCTGGCCAATCTCTTCCATCCTGGGCTGGGGTAGGGGCTACCTCTTCTAAGAGGCCCCCTGGATTGCTGGGCTCACCCCAGCTCTCCCTCAGACTCCTACCTTTCCTGAATCCTTCCTTCTGTGACTCCTTTTGCTGAAGGCTTCTGCATTTCAGGTTTGGCTTGGGGCTGGCATGCCCAGGGGGTGGGGAGTGTAGGTGCCAGGGAGGAAAGGCCTTGAACCCTGGTATGTGGGGTGGGGCCCTGGCCATCTGGGGGTCCCTGCCACCCTTCCAGGAGTGAAAAGCCAGCTTGTTCCTCTGACTGGGGAAAGGTAGACCCTGCGCCCAGGGATAATGTGAGGTGTGGGATGCCCGCCTGTCTGCCTGTCTCACTCCCTGTCCACTTGTCCATCTGTGTCTGAGGGCCACCCAGGGCCAGTGTGTCCCAGGGACCCTGGGAACTGGGAGGTCACGAATGATCAGAGCAGGGATTCACACGTTCAGCACTGCTTCCGTGACCAGTGCCACCTCGGGTGCACAGAGCAGTCGTGGAGGGCTTCCTGGAGGAAGGGCCAGCCCCATGGAGGCCAGGAGCATTTACTAAAAAGAAGGGCGAGGCCAGAAAGGAGAGTGTGCAGAGGCCTGCAGAGAGCGCGTCACAGGGGAGCTGCAGGTAGCTTAATGGCGTGGGGGTGTGGGTGGGGGTAAGCATGGAGAGGTGGCAGGGGCCGAATGCTGGGAAGGAGGGCTGTGTTCCAAAGGCACCGGGGAGCCACTGGGGAGCCCTGAAGAGTTTTAGGGCAGTTCCGGTGGGAAGGGATGGGCTGGGTCTGGGGAACTACCTGGTGGGAGAAGGGGGCAGGGGCGAAGGGGAGTAAAGGGATTGAGGGGAGGCCGGGTGAACTCAGAGGGGGCATGGCATGGACAGGAAGCCATAGATGGACACACTCCCCCGACCTTGATTACCCCCCAAAGGGTGGCTGGGGGTCCCTGGTCAAGCTGGGAGCCTGTGAGGGAGGCCGGGTGAACTCAGAGGGGGCATGGCATGGACAGGAAGCCATAGATGGACACACTCCCCGACCTTGATTACCCCCCAAAGGGTGGCTGGGGGTCCCTGGTCAAGCTGGGAGCCTGTGAGGTGTGTCTCTGCCAGGCCCTGCCTGCCCTGTCTCTGCCTCCAGGTTTCTCTGTATTTTTCTTTTTTTGGAAGCCACAAGCTGGCCAGGAGCCAAGGCCCTCCTTGCTGGGATAAATATTTAATAGTCAGAAGCACTTTCTAAAACGGAAAAATGGAGCTGGGCCCAGGAGGTGGTGCTCCGCTCTCCCCCGCACCCCCATCCCCGGACGCTGCAGAAGTCTTTGCAGCCGCCGCCCTGCGGGCTGGCCGCGTCCTGCCCTGCCCTGCCCAGCTTGGGCTGCGGCCCCTCACGGACACCTTGTGAGGGTGGGGGGGTGTTGCGGCCCCCTCTCTGGAGAGCTTTCTGGGGCTCCCCTTCCTACAGGCACCTCTCGTCCAGGGGTGACGGCGGGGGAATGGGAGGCAGAGCCGCTGGCTGCGAGCTGAAGCACAGGCTGTTCCGGAGCAGGAGTCGGGGACACTCTCCTGCCTGGACATGGCGCCGGATGTGGTGTCCATTGCCGGGGGGACAGCCGAGGCAGAAAGGAGCATCCGGGGGTGCCAGGGACATGGCAAAGGACAGGACCCCTGGGAGGCCTCCTCTGGGCCTCGGCCTCGCTGTCAGCGCAGGGGGTTGCACGGGCTCACTCAGGCCCCCTGTCCAGTGCTGAGCCCAGCCTGCTGGGGACTGCCCAGGGGCTGGTGTCTGGTGGGCGGGAGGCCCTGGTGACTCAGCCCCACCCCACTGAGACAAGGCTCCTTTGTTGGGCCTTGAGCCCTCAGTCCTCTGCCTGCTCCAGGGGTGGTGGTCAGAGCCTGCAGGGCATTGGGCTCTGGGTGCTTTGGCCCCCTCCCAGGCCTCCCTTGACCCCCTGGCCAACATTTCCATTCCCTGAGAGCTGCCAGTGGCTCACCACCGCGGGTGGGGTAGAGGATGGCCTCCCCGGGAGCGCCTGACTGTGGGCCCTCATGGGCGGCTCCCTCCCTGGCAGGCCTTGCTCCTGGGAGGCAGCGGCTCTGCAGGCTCCCCTGTGACACATGTCCTGGGAACGCCGCTCCACGCCTAGGCCTCCTCCCAGCTGACTCACCATCAGCCGCCCTGGCCCCACCCAGCCCGCTGGCCACCGAGCTCCCATGGCAACTTCCAGCTCGTCCCGGGATCCAGGTGGCTTTGAGCCAGCACTGCCTGCGCAGCCCAGATCTCAGGTTCCATGAGCTGGTGGCTCAGCAGACCCCCTGCCCGCTGCCCCTCGGCTGACCCAACACCTGCCTGACCACCGAGGCTGGCCACATGCAGCCAGGGGCCCAGTGGGTGGGGTCCCTGGAGTGGAGGCAGGTGCCAAGGCCCTGCCCCCCGTTGGCCTTCAAGGAGTTTGGTGTGTCCCCAGCAGGTCTGGACAGCAGCCAGGGGCAGGGCGTGAGGGGTGGCCCCCGGCTCTTGCCATCCCAGTGGTCCTGAACCCAGAGCCCTGTGTGTCTACCCGGCCCCTTCCCTTCCTGTGTCCCAGTGCTCATTGGCGCTGGCCGCCTGGTGGGGCAGAGAGCCCAGGGTCCGAGCTGGAGGGGCACCCCAGGCAGAACAAGCTGCACGTGCACACACGTGGAGCCTGGAGAGGGCCTGGATGGAGGGTGCAGCGTGGCCTCATGGCAGAGCCAATGTTGGGGAGGGGTCAGCCAGGAGGACAGGGCATGCCCCGCCCCAGGCTGCGGGGATGACACTGGCTGCACAGCAGTGGGCTAGCTTTGGGGGGTACCTCCCTCTGGCTGTCATGAGGTGGGCCCGGCTGAGGTGGGGAGCCCGACAAATGCTATTGCCATGGTCCGGGGTCCGGGAGGGTGAGTTGCGGGGGTGTCCAGGGCAAGGTGGCCAGAACCGGGAGGTGCTTTGGAGGTGGTCCTCAGGAGGATGGGTGTTGCTTGATTGGCTTGGGACCCCCAGGGAGAGGGGGTGCCGGGCTCAGGAGAGAACGAGGTGGTGTCAGCTGGCCCCTTCCAGCTGACTCAGCCAGCCTGCCTGCCGTGCCCTGCCCTGCCCTGGGGGTTGACAGTCAGGTGGGGTGTCGGCTGTAAACAGCATTCCCAGGTGAGAGCTGTCTGGGAGTGGGGGCTGAGGAGCAGGTGCAGGTGCCAGGAGCAGCGGCCAGCTTTCCTGTGTCAGGGTGAAGAGAGCTCTTCTACCTTCTTGACCGTTAGGTTTTCACATCAGCCTTTCTGGGGCGGGGTGGAGGGGGCTGAGTGGGCACCTGGTTGCCGGTCCCTCGCCTTCCAGGACTGGGGTGTCCCCAGGGGCCTCCCTCACTCCATTTGTCCACTGGGGCTCCCTGCCCCAGGCTGGGGCGGGGACTTCTTCCTACCTTGGAGACCTCTGACCTGCCTGGGGGCCGCTCCTGCCTTCTCAGCTCCCTCAACTGTCCCAAGAAGCCCCTGTCTCTGGGCCGCCATCACTGTCCAGGGCCTGGTGTGGTGGGCAGGGGTGTGGGTGTGGGCCATTACCATTGCTGACCTCCTGGGGCTGGGTCTGACCCCTTACTGCCCTCGAGCCCTGGCTGGGCCCCTCTGCTGGGTGGGCCTGCTTCAGCCTGCCTGTGGGGTGCAGGTGCCCAAGCCAGCTGGGCCCTGCCCCACCTGGCCGTGGGCACAGGGCGTGGCAGCCCTGGGATCCCAGCAGGAGATCTACAGATAGCACAGCTGGCAGGGTCCTGCCTGGGCCTGCTGGCCACCAAGACCTGGGAGACGCTAGGGCTGAGAGTCCTAGGGATGGCAGGGAAAAGAGACTGGGAGGTGGCAGGCTAGGCAGCTGGAGCTCTGGAGAGTGGTGATGTGGGGTCACCAGCCTCAGGGGATGTTTCTCAGCCACCACTTGTATCCAAGTGATTGGGAGAGGTGGGAGGCTTGTTAAAAATGCTGGTTCTGGGGGCCGGCCCGGTGGCGCACTGCTACAGTGCGCTGCTTGGGAGTGTGGCGGCGCTCCGGCTGAGGGTTCGGATCCCACATACAGACCGGTTCCCGCTCACTGGCTGAGTGAGGTGCGGGCCCAGCACCGAGGGTTGCGATCCCGTTGCCGGTCCCGGTCCGGTACGGGCGCGACACTGAGGGTTGCGATCCGTTGCTGGACATGAGAAAAGACAAAAAAAAGGAAAAAAAAAAAAAATGCTGGTTCTGGGGCCCCACCACACCCAGCTCATGCGATACCCTGGAGCTTTAAGGAGTGGGGGCTGTTGAGTTTGGGCTGAGAGAGCTGGAAGGGTGGTCCTCAGGGGCACTGGCAGGTAGGTTCAGTCCTGCCCTTGGTCTGTGCCTCTCCTCCCCTCCCTGGCACCTCCAGCCAGGCCAGCTCTGAGCCTCTGCCCTAGCACCCACAGGGAAACGGAGGCACAGGGCTGTGCACAACCAGCTGGGAGGGACCTGCCTTGTGCCTGCATCTGTCCACCTGTCTGTCCACACAGCAGGACTGGCCTGCACACTGGCTCTCCCCGGGCAGGGCTGGCGGTTGTGACTCAGAAGGCCGGCGTTTCCTCCAGCAGTCAGCTGCTCAGGCTGGGGGGGCACTCAGGGTGGGTTCCCCAGGTCCAAGACGCTGAGTGTTGCGGGGACTGGCCCAGCTCCTGACCTGCAAGGGGACCCGCCCACTCCCTCTAGTGGGGCAAGGGGGTCTTGGCAGGGCTTTGAGCCTGCCCAGGAGGAGGCCAAGAGGAGGGGCAATGTGGGGAGGGGCTGTGGAGGGGAGGAACCAGGGAGGGGCGCGGCGGGCGGCCGAGGGCGGCGGCCAGCTTGGGGATCTTCACTTCTGGGCAAGCTGAGAGAGCGTCTGCGGCCTCCTCGGTAAGCCCACTGTGCCCTGCCCCTGCCCCCATCCTGGTTCAGCCCTGGGACACCTGCCCGCCTCACCACTCAGCAGGTCTGTGGGGGCCGGGTAGGCTGCTGGCGAGAGGGCTGGAGGGGCAGAGCTGGGCTGGGCCCTCCCTGGCCCCCTGCCCTGCCCCGCCCTTGCCTCCAGCTGACACTGGAGGGTTAGGGGTGTCGGTTCATGGGGCCAGGGCCTTCCAGGCTGGGCAGGGATGTCAAGGAGGGACTGTCCCTATCCTGAAAGTCCTGTAAACCAGGCAGGAGGCCCTGGAGTGGCACCCCACACCCGCCAGCTCCTGGAGCAGCCATAGTGCCGCATGAGACCCTGGGTGTGCAGCTGTGCAGCAGGACTCTGAGCTGCCCCAGTGGCTTGTTTGGAGGGAGCCTGGGCCATGGGGGAGGCTGATGCCCAGCTCTCTGTCACAGCTGTTTCAGCCCCAGGACCCACATATCCCTGTGGCTGGGCTGTGACTCCTGTGGAGGGATCCTCTGATGGTGGCCGCTGCTCTTGTTTGGTGCACCAGGGACCCTGGGGTGATTGTAGAGGGTACCTCCAGGTGGGTTGTGGGGACCTGGGTCAGTGGGCTGCCCATTATGACTCACACAGTCCTGAGCATCCGGGGTGCTGGCCTTTCAGCCCAGAGAAGCAGACTTGGGCTGACTGGTCCCTTCTGGGGTGGACAGGAGCGTGGGGTGCTCCTCAGGGCCACTGAACTCCTTGGAGTTGGTGGGCTGGTGTGCTTGGCCTGTGCCTCGTCTCTGCAGGTGCAGAAAGAGCTGAACTGGGCCCACCTGCTGCCCCTCCCAGCCCCGTATGTTGGCCTCACCTGCAGGCTGAGTGGGATTTGCTCCTCTCCAGAAAATCTGACCGGCTCCTTCCCTTGCTCTCCCATCCCACTCCTGGCACTAGCATTTATTATGCACCAACTGTGTTTCAGGCTCTGAGTGCTTGGTGAGCAAAGTGTTCTGGGGACCAGGGCCTGGGCAATGTCCAGTAGCACTGGCAGGGTTGCCAAGCTCAGTGTGAGTTTTCCCAACAGAGGAGACAAGTCCAGAGGTAGGAGCGGCATGGGCTGGGGGGCTGCAGATGTTGGCTGGGGCAGGAATGGAGAGGTTTCCAGGCCAGGCTGACTGAGGGACAGCACCAGGGAGCCATGGAAGGTTGTTTCAGGAGAGGTTGAGATTAATAGCCCGTGATTGCAGCAGGTCCCCCCACCCCACCTTGCAGGAAGAGGCAAGAGCCTGGCCAGCCTCCTGGAGATGGCTCTGCCCCTCTCATCTGGAGAATTATCTGGGAAACACTGGGGAGGGGTGGGCGGGCCCTCCATTGCTGCGGGCGTTGCTTCAGAAAGTCTGAAGGTCTCATGACAGTCAGCCCAGCCGCACTTTCCTCGTGAGGTTCCAGGATGGGGCGAGGCCCGAGTGTACGTGTGTGTGGGCATGTGTGCCTGTGTGGACAGCGACCCCTCGGCTGAGCCTGCCTGGGGGCTCCCGCTCACTCGGACTGTCCACTGGAGCTCAGAGGGAGGGGCCAAGCCGGACACACATGTGCACACACACCCCTGCACACGAGCATGTGCAACCCCCACAAACGCGGAGTGAGCCTTGCTGCCCCCCCAGGAGGGACCTCTCAGGCTGCAGGACAGCTCAGAAGCCCCATCTAGGGCCCTTACAAATCTCCCTGCCAGTCTCCCTGTCCCCAAAGTCCCCCATTGCCCTGGCAAC